ATATATATATATATATATATATGTATGTATATATGTGTGTGTGTGTGTGTATTTACATGTGTGTGTGTGTTTATATATACATGTATTTTTATCAAATCTCAAAATGAATATCCATGTTTTTCATACATAGCAATGTACATTATAATGTTTTCATTATAATGAAATAATTATTAATGGCATTATTTTTACCATAATATACATTGTTTTAAAGAATATATATTTTGACACTCAATATATCATAACTAATTTTGATAAGTTTTATGATTAAATTTAAAATGTTTTGAAAACTAGTCACTAAAACTAATTTTATAACTAATAATATACTATGCATTTAATCTGAATTAAAATCCTATTTTAACAATGTTTGGATAATTTTATTAGAAAGTAAGACAAAGACACTGATTAACAATATGATTCGATATGTTCTTTTTTAGAACATTCTGAAAACATCTGTGATATTTTCATGAGCTGTTTGCTCTGATTTTCCTGATTTTAAGCATCTTAGTGTATTTACACAGCTCTTTTTTATAGCCATTCTGGCCAATGGGAACAGGAATTGCTCGGGGCTTCCTGGCAGCCATGGACACGGCCTGGATGGTTCACAGCTGGGGTCAGGGCAACACCCCTTCAGAGGTTCTGGCTGAGAGGTCAGAGCTAAAATGGGATCCCAATGAAGTCAAGGCAGATTTATGAACAATTAGTTTTGACACAGTAGGATTCTGTTCTAATATCCCCCTCCGTTTCTTCCCCGTCTCAGAGAGAGTGTGTATCGGTTGCTTCCTCAGACAACACCAGAAAACGTCAGTAAAAACTACAGCCAGTACAGCGTGGATCCTGCTAGCCGCTATCCCAACATCAACATGCAACTCATCAGCGCTGCTCAGGTTAGAAACTTGCAGTTCTCATCGAGTCATAATCACTGATGATGATCATGATGTTGAAAATGTGTGTTCAGGTGTGTCATCTCATAGACACAGGTGAGGGTCCGGTTTTAAGCCTTGATGCAGTCAGCTCTCCACACCCAAGACTCACACGGCAAGGTGTGTGTTACTTCATATAGACCATCTTCCACTTATACATTCATACACAATCTAACATGCTGTCTGTGTGTGTAGAGTCAATGGCTCGTTACAGTAAGCTTCTGAGCTGGTGTCAGGAGCAGACGCATGGTTACATGAACGTATGTGTGGCAGACTTCACAACTTCCTGGAGGAGCGGCCTGGCCTTGTGCGCTCTCATTCACAGATTCAGACCTGACCTCATGTGAGTCCACATTCTTTACTCTGGGTATGAATGAGGGTTGTGGCATAGTGGTTAGCGATCTAGGCTGGTAACCTAGTTTATATCACAGGTTGGCAAAGCTGTGAGTTGCTACTTGCTATTGCTACCATTTTATTGGACTAAAAATTATATGACATGATTGTGGCACCAATATTTTAGGTCTACTTCCCAAAAAGGGCAGGTTAAAAAATGTATATCTAATAAAAAAATTATTTATGGAGGATTTGGGAGTGCCATAATAATAAATATTTCATTACAAGCATCAGTAGCTAAATATATCATAAAATGCGTCAATAAATAAATATACACATAAATACATATTAAATATTATTAAATGTATAAATAAAGTATTTAATATATTTAATTATGTCATAATGTAAATACATATTTTATTATTTATTTATTTATTCATTGACATGTTTAGTTATTTATTTCTTGACAGTATATAAATATAATATAATAATGTAATATAATATAATGTGTAAATTAAAAAGAAAATAAAAAAGCATCAATAAATAAATTGGCAAAATGTGGCAATAAAAATGACATACATGTATTTCATGATTTATTCATTTATATATGACACATATAGTTATTTATTGACACTATATAGTTAATAAATAAATAGGTCAGTAAATAAAATATATATTGTGAAATGTGCCAATAAGTAAATTAAATGGAAATGACATTTTCCACTGAACTTTGATGATTGATTATTAACATTTTATAAAGTATTTATTTATTGACTTAACTGTTTATATTATTTTAAATAGTAATTGTATTAAATTGAATTAAATTATATATATTTATTAACACTTTTAATTAAATATTTATATATTAATATGGCACTCCCAGTCCTCTATAGGTACTATTATATTGATGGGCTTAAGCTTAAACCTGAAAAACTTTCATGAGGTTTTTAAGTGCTTTTATTCCTTCAAAAGGAAATGTAGTAACTAAAAGTGTGGGCAGATTGTATTATTGCATGGAGGTTTTCTGATTGTGTGACTCTGATTCTGTCTTTGGTTCTTGCAGTGATTTTGCGTCTCTGGAGGAGAGTGAGGCGGAGCTCAATGGTCAGCTGGGTTTGGACATGGCGGAGCTGGAATTTGGTATTTGTCCTATAATGACCGGCAAGGAGATGAGCGCACTGGAAGAGAGTGACTCTCTCTGCATGGTCATGTACCTCAGTCAACTTCACGAGCTCCTCAAAGACACAGCGCCAGCTAGTGGTCAGGATAAGGCATAATCTGTTATTTTAATTTTATTTGGGTAATATTTTTAACCTTCTTTGATCTTTATTTATATACACACTTTATTTTTTCTCCGGACAGGAAACCTGAGCTCAGAAGAGAAAGCAGTTCTGTTCTCCAGCCCCAGGTCACCAATCTCACTGCTCAGCAAACTGGGACAGAGTCTGTCCCGCAAACGCAATCCCAAGGTTCACACACTCAACAGTTACACAACTGCACTTTTTAGCAGCTGTTACCCACATGTTAAGATGTGCTATTTTTCATCTCTGTCAGGATAAGAAAGAGAAGGAAGCAGATAGTGTTGGAAATGGAAAGAGGAGGAGAACAAGCCAGACTGGCCAGTCAGAAGAGGTGAGATGTTATTTATATATATATATATATATATATATATATATAATTATTTAAAATTAAAACTAATATAAATAAAAATATTTTCATAATACATATAATATCTTAATATTTTATTATATAATATATATCATTATTACAAAAAATTATTATAAATGTAATAACGAACCGCCTTGTGTTACGTCATATATAGGGGGCGTGTCATCGTGCGTTCAGCCGTTTTTGTTGATTATCGGTGATATTTTCCTGATATAGGACAACGTTCCTTATGATACCAAAGAAAATAAGACTTCAGGAGTGACTCCTGGGTCAGAACCGAAGGTCGCTGAGGGTCACAGCAGGGTTCGGTCCATGGCGACGCTACTGCTGGCTAAATTTGAGGAAAACTCACCATTGGCCTCAGCCAGTGCAACTCGCCGACAGGTGTGTGAGTATTTGTGTGATGCATGTGTGCTTTTACATGCATAAAGGTGTGTTTTCATGTGCAAGCATATATTTGTTTTCAAGTTAAGTTACACCATGTCCTGACAAGGTGCAACACAGGTTTTTCTTTTCTTTTCAAATTTGCTTTCTTTACTCAAAAAAAGCAGGAGAGAGGATTTAATGCTTCATCGCATCAATCAGACTTGATTAATAATGTCTTATAGTCACTCATATCCATGTTTGATAGAAGATGGGAGTATTTGGTTTTGGTTGTTATAAAATGTCACACTACCTCTTTTAGTCAGGAGATTTGTAATATTTTCCTAATATAGAGTGAATTAGCTCACCTTGCCCATCCGTGAAAGCTGCTGATTCATCCAGTGCCTGTTGCACAAGCTTAGCATACACACTTCAACAGGAAGAACTAGAATTGGCAAAGCTTCTATGCAGAGTTTATAAAGTGTTTTATTAGATTAAAAGCCATTCAGGTGATTGACAGTGACAACTGCGGCATTAGAAGACTGCACCAGGGATTTTTACTCTACAATGAATAACATTTTGATGTCCACCAACCCTATTTGAAATGACATGAAATGAAAATTCTGTCATTAATTACTCACGCTCATGTTGTTCCAAACCTGTAAGACCTTCGTTCATCTTTGGAACACAAATTAAGATATTTTTGATAAAATCCGAGAGCTTTCTGACCCTCCATAGACAGCAACAGAACTACCACGTTCAAGGCCCAGAAAGGTAGTAAGGACATCGTTAAAATAGTCCATGTGGCATCAGTGGTTCAACCATAATGTTATGAAGCTACGAGAATACTTTTTGTACACAAAGAACACAAAAATAACGAATTATCAAATAATTTCTTCTCTTCCGTCAGTCTTCGATGAGCGTTCACGACAGTATCACTTGAACGTGTCAATTCCGTTGCTGTCTATTTCTTCAAAAATATCTTAATTTGTGTTCTGAAGATGAATGAGGCATTTTATATAGCGCTTTATTGTGTATTGCTGTACACCCAAAGTGCTTTACAATCATATGGGGGATCTCTCCTCAACCACCACCTAGGGATGTAACGATTCACTCAACTCATGATTTGATTCGATTCACGATTTTGATTTCACGATTCGATTTGATTCACGATTTTTTTTTTACAAAATGAGATTTATACGGTGGCCGTAAAGTGCAAAGCAGATCACAATTCTGAAAACAAAATAACAAATTACAAACGCAAATGCAAGTCTAAAAAACAAAATAACAATTCAGAAAGCACAACAACAATTCAAAAAACATTATAACAAGTCAGAAAACACAACGACAAATCTGAAAACAAATTAACAAATCAGAAAACACAACAACAAATTTGTCATTGTGTTTTCTGACTTGTTATAATGTTTTCTGAATTGTTGTTGTGCTTTCTGAATTGTTATTTTGTTTTTTAGACTTGCATTTGCGTTTGTAATTTGTTATTTTGTTTTCAGAATTGTGATTTGCTTTGCACTTCTCGGCCACCGTAGATTTAAGACAAGTTATAAATTAAATGTGTCCTTTTATTATTGCTTGGACAAAATGCTGCACGTTTCTTTGTGAAATTGAAATATAACACTATAATAATATACTAATATAGCACTTGCATATTATTGCTCTTTTGTTGGTTTTGATTGCTTTTATTGTCCTCATTTGTAAGTCGCTTTGGATAAAAGCATCTGCTAAATAACAACATTTTAATATAGGCTAATGTAAATGTAAATAACAAAACTAAATTGAAATTTTAAAACGTCACATATTTTAATCGATTTTCAACCGGCTCGTGCTTAATCGTTACATCCCTACCACCACCCAGTGTGTAAGAGCGATATGAGGGTGAGTAATTAATGACAGAATTGTTATTTTTGGGTGAACTATCCCTTTAAGAAAACGCACACAACACAGCAGGAGCTGATGTGTTTCCGTTTCAAGGAATAGGTCAGAGTTCACTCTCTGCTGATTTAAAGCGAGAAGGTAAAAAGACACCTGTGCTACAAGATAAAACGGGTCCAGTAGTGTGCATTTTTGTACACAAATAGCTAATCTGGTTCTGATTTAAGCTTCTTTGGTCTCTGGGGCTTAGTATGAATAGGTTATGAAGAAGCTCTGTGTGTGAACTGGCCTAGGGCTCAACAGCCTATCAGTGACTGGAGGCCATGGGACATGTGATTTGAGGGTCTTAACTGAAGAATCTCAGACAGAGTGATTTATTATCTCTATCTTATTCTCTATGCTACTTACTGACTTTTACTGTGACTGACAGGTTTATATGGATGGATGGATGGATGGATGGATGGATGATAGATAGATAGATAGATAGATAGATAGATAGATAGATAGTTCCTTACACAAAAGTAATTGTGATGCTTTAGCAAGCGGCACAAATGATTTAAATGTTAGCTTGGAAATGGTAGGATGAATTTAACGGCATTCACACCAAAGACGATAACTATAATGATAACCAAGGCTATAACATTTTAATAATCATTGGAATTCTATGAGAATTACCACATCACAAGAGATGTGAGAAGTCCACATCACAGCAATAACTATAATTACATGGAGGAACAATATCATTGGAATCATTTTCAGAATTTTTTTTTTTTTCCATTTGATGAACGATAAAAACATTTACAGCCAAAATCCAATCAAAATACAATTAGACTTTGAAGCACTCAAGCGGCAGATGTCATAACTGAAGTGCTTATAATATATTATTGCCCATTAATGTAGATGTTAATATAGCTATTGTTAAGGTTATCTTTATAGTAATCGTTTTTGTTGCCTTTCTCTATTTTCTAAGACCAATCTGTAATTTCCACACCTTTATGCTTTCATGGATATTCATGCATCATTTCTTTTGATGGTTTTCATCTCAGAAGCATTTTGCATTCCTGCTTGTTTTCCATGCTCATCTTTTGATTTGTAGAGCTACATTCAGATGTATACGGGCGGAGTGAGCTCATTGGCTCAGCAGATAGCCAATCAGATTCAGAGTCAGCAGGATCAAGCTCCCAAGCTCCTTCACAGGAGGGAGTTGGTAAGAGTTCACATGTAGTGCCTGCGACAAATCTTCCCTAACACTGAATCGACTTGTGTCCCTTTTAGTGCCTGTATTACTGTGTGTATAAGGTCTGTAACCCAGCCTTGAATTTTGTTTGGCGTTATATTTACTAATTACTGTAAGTGTGTGAATTCCTGCTCTAATCCAATTTCTCTAACAAGGCTCAATGCTTTACAGCTTGGTTAGACTGTCATTCCATGAAAGTGCTGCAATTTGTTTCTATGGCATGTGGTGAAATCTGAGCCTTTGTTTGAAGCTTTTCATTGTGTCAGCCATATTTCATTTAATATAGTAATATTATTTTATATTTATTAAAATTAAAAATAAAATAAAAAGTAATATAAAAATAAAATATTAAATAATAAAATAACAATTATAACAAATAATAATAATAATATAAAATTATTTAATGCACACTGTCACCCCAGTTCTGTCCTGACAGCTGTAGTTGTCCATGTTAAGCATCTTTATTTTGATTCTTGACCTTTGACCTCTCACCTGTAGGGTTCTCAAAAGGAGTTTCCTGTGAATATGGGCGGCAGTGATGTGTGTTATTTCTGCGGCCGTCGCGTTTATGTCATGGAAAGGCTGAGCGCGGAGGGAAAGTTCTTCCATAGGAGCTGCTTCCAGTGTGATCACTGCAGCACAACGTTACGCTTGTCCAACTACGCTTACGACCAGCTACATGGTGTGTGTGTGTATGATTAATCACTTCATACTTTCACTAATAAAATGATCATTATCAGTACTTTGTGTTTTTAAGATTTTATGCTTAAATCAAAAACAATAGGTGTTTAGCTTTCAATGGATGTAGTCACAAGATGAGCGACACAGCGTGTGAAAATGGCCTGCTGTTCTGTGTTGCCGACTGTAGGCGACTGTTTTTGACCAAACAAACTGCTCCTTTGTTACCATTGCACAGTCATAAGGTCTGAAATGTGTGTGTTGGGACAGGGCTTTTATTGTTGTGCAATAATGACAGTGGGGCACACACACACACACAAACTGAAGGCCCTCAGCAAAATCCCTTTTAAACATTTTTTAAAAATAGGAATCAAAACACCAAAAGGTTCTAACTGATAGGGTCGTATAGATCACATGATTCAAACACTTCAAGTTTAAAAAAAGAGGCGGCATTCGGGCCGACTTCAAGCAACGGTATAAATAAGACATTTAGTCCCTGCATCAGCTACTTTTTTATTTTCCCGCTCTCTCACGTCTTTTTTTCTTTTGATTTGTATAGGGAAGTTTTATTGTAAGCACCACTTCAGCTACAGAATGACCAGCGTGGCTCAGAGAAAGAGACCGATCCCACCTGTGGCCCCTCGACCTACTCAGGTAACCTCATCAGATCACAATTATAGTTCTTTTAGGTCCTCTATGTGCCTGATTTTAGATATGTATAAAACTGAAAAATGTATGTTTTATAGCACACATGCATTATCAGTATAATGACTATATACATCTGACAGATTTGTGAATAAATTTATGTAAAAACAGGAAGCAATTTTTTTTAAATAGTATAACCTGCACCATAGTTTTTATTTATTTAATTTTTTAGTTTGTCGTAAATATTTATATATATATATATGTACACTACACACATGTGTATATGACTCTATTATTTGTTTATTTGGCATTCAAAGATTTGTATTTTATTTAAAAAAATTTTTTTGATAATTCTGTTTATTTTTATTTAAATAAAAATGGAAAGGAAATCATAGAAAAGTTGGAATATCAATTTCTTCGTTTAAAAAAGTATTTATTTACTTTTATTTATTTTATTTATGGTAACACTTTATATTAAGGTGTCCTTGTTGCACATGCTACATGTACTTACTATTATAATAACAATAAATTATGCATAATTACATGCAAGTAACCCTAATCCTAACCCTAAACATATAGTAAGTACATGTAGTTAATTAATATTACTCAGTACTCAAATGGATACCTTCAAATAAAGTGTAACTTTATTTATTTATCTATGCATTTATTTATGCATTTATTGACGTGACTTGTCTGTGTTTTTGTCTCTACAGGCTCCCCCTGCTCCATCCTCGGCTTCTACGTCTTTGTCCTCTCTAGGGTCAGTGGGCAAAGCCACCCCACCAGACTCTTGGTCCTCCAGCGCCCACCCAGACATAGTATCCAGCCTGGCCAAGAGACTGTGTGGTACCCCAGAACGCATTGAGCTGGAGAACTACAAACCCTGTACAAAACAACAGGACAGCCCACTGCAGGAGGTCCCAGAGGAGACGCTTGCACAGCACAACCTCAGTGCTAGCCTGCAGGAGAAAAACACAGAGGAGCAGTCCAGGTATAAAACATGCTCCTCTTATGTTACTAATATTTACTGGCATGTTTTCCCTGGATAAATTCTCTTTTTAAGTCTCTTTTTTGGCTTTCAGTAGCTCTGAGTCAGACCTAGAGGAGGAGGAGCTTGCCTGGAAGAAGGAGGAGGGGCCGAACATCAGGACCAATGGAGAGAGAGAGTTAGACCTGGGGGAGGAGCTAAAGGAGGAAGAGGGAGGAGAGAACCAGGAAAAACAAGAGGAGGAGGCCAAGGATGAGGAGGAGGAAGAAGGAGAAGTTTCAGAAGAAGAACGAGACGAGGGAAATTCTAGTGATGGTGGGTGTTTGTTTCTGTTAATTTTCTTTAGAAAAGGCTCTGTTAAAATGGGTAAAGTTTGATCTTGTCTGACTATATAGTTTGTTTATTGAAGAAATCAAATCAAAGAAATCATCTTAAGATGAGGTAAGATTATTAAATGTCTCTCAATATCTGTTTTTGTGTCATATTCCCACAATATGTTTGTGTGTATTTGTATGCGAGGTGAATGTTGTCATGCTTGTTTGTATGTTTATTGTTGTGCATTCACCACTAAATGTGTGTGTGTTTTGGGGTGTGTTGACATGTATGTGTAGAGGGTGAGTACTGCCCTTGGGAGAGAGAACGGCTCTCAGGGGTGTGGCTTGAGGAAGAGGAGGCGGGGTTTGTTAAAGGTAGCACCGCCCCTGACCATTGATGGCCTTCATTAGCCTTTTTTGCATTATTTTATCTTAAAATAGATGTTGTTTGCAGGTTATTTCATTTGCAGGCTGTGCATGATTAATAGTGTGTTTTAATGTTTGTATATTTTGCAATTGGCTTTTTACATTTTTGGGTTATGCTATGGAAATAATTTGCAGTTGTTTTAGTTTGCCTGTTTTATATATTTTGCAAATTTTAAGACACTAACTTAAACATTGTCCTAACCAGGTACGACATGAAAAGTTTTCGCATAGCAATTTATTTGTTCACACTGAAAGCCAATAATGCTGCACAATGTAAACAATCATTACTAATCCCAACATATTTGCTACATAGTGTAAGATTCTGAACCAGTAAGATTTCACTAAGGGTAAAAGGCTTTGTTGTTTGCCACAAAAGAAATAATAAAAAGCAACTGTCACTTTAATGCACTATGCCTGGTTAGCACATACTTTTAATCACATTTGCAGTTTATGGAGTATAAATAAAGGAGTTAGCCTACTTTATAGATCCTAGACAGTAAAAATGAATGCACAGCCAAAATGTACACAAAATATGATGAATGATGCGCATGGTACAAGTAATACTACACTAAGGTCATAACAGTAGCAATAGTTAGATGCACACTATTTGGGGGGGGGAACAAAAAATATATATATATATATATATATTACTGTACATGTTTAAGAATGAATGAGAAATATAGTTTCAGAATATGGATCTATCAAAAGTGAAAAAACTCCAAAACAATACATTTGCTTTTCTATAGTTTATTTGTACCATGATTGAGCCCTCCTTACAATCTTATCTTTTTCAGGCTGCTTCATATTATTGCTTGTTTAAGAGCAACTGAAAGGCTGCACCACTTCCCCCACAAAACTATTTTATTAAGAAGACTCTAGAACTCCTCTAGAATTCTTTCCCATTCTAATTATTTTTTTTCCTTATCCTTTCATGCTTTTAATAACCAGAGTCTTATGAAGGATACAGTGACGACACAGATATAGACACCAGCTCAGTCAGAGAGTCCAAACCATGTGACCAACAGGAACAAGAAGTGTCTGTTTCATTGCACCAGTCATCTACAGAGTCCCCATCCTCCTTGAAACCACCAGAATCAGGTCCCACACCCACACCTGAGCTGTCGACGAATCCAGAGAACCCACCTGTCAAGAGGTCAGAGGTCGTAGAAGAGTTCTGGTTGAAGAGTGCTGAGATCAGGAAGAGTTTAGGCCTGACTCCTCTGTCTAGAGAATGCGACCCCAAACATACAGCAGCCCAAACATCTAACATTAAAGAAAGCTTCTACACCTCAGTCGCCTACATAACATCCTGCAATACCAATTCTGCCAACCAAACGCCAAGAAACTGTGACTCCAGCTCACAAACTCCATCTCAAAGTACATCCCCGCCTGAACCATCTCACACTATGGACGGCGATGCAGGCGTCACATTAAAAGAGACGATAGGCCGCTGTTCTGTAATCCACAGACTGAGCATCACTGTAGAAGGTTGTGTGATGGGGGACAAGCAGGATTTGGACCTCAATTCCACCTCATTTGGAAATGAAAGCATTTTAAATTCAGATACAGGTCTTCCTACTCCTCCGTACAGCCCATCTAGTTCCCCTATTGTCAGCAAGCAATGTCGCGCCCTTCACCATTCTGAACCCATACTGGACCGAGAGGTTATGGTCTTCTCATCGACCTGCGCTACTCCTGTTCCACAGCGGGTCGGTTTTAAACCCCAGCTCGATCAAGCTTGGAGTCTTCCTCCGGATGAAATTGAGATCCTGTGTGGAGACGAGGCGGAAGGGACTTCCAGACTGCCGGAAAGATCCAGTGTCACGGAGACCGTAGGCCAGACGGACAGCAGTAGGCTGGAACACAGGAGGACGCTTCCAGACCGGTTGGTTGCCCCACTGCTGGCAGGGGGACCGGAGGTCAGGCTTCGGAGGTCAGAGATGAAGCTGTGGTGGGCTGACAACGGCGTGGAGGAGAAGGAGAAAAAGCGCAACTCGTTGTTCTCACCCTGTAAAAGCAGGAAGAGCATGAATGCAGCGGCTGAAGCCCAGCGGGAGCCAGGAAAGCACAAGTCCCTCTGGAAGACCGTTTTCTCAGTGTATAAGAAGGACAAAAAGAGGAAGGAGGCTGCGATGGTGGCGGAAACTCTACCTGCCGCAACTAACACCGAGAGCAAGCGTAAAGTGTCAGGAATCAACAGAACATCAGGTGAGATGGATGGATGGATGGATCTATAAATAAACTGTACCAAATGAACATGACTTTAAGGGTGTTTCCACATTGCAGACCTGTGTTTCCGGAAAAATCTGAGTTTCTCTGAAGACACAGACTTGTCCTGCCATGCTCTTCTAGAAAGATGTCCACTCAGAGCTCAGGTAATGTCAAACTCCTCTCCACTGTCTCTGATCCTTAAGGTCACATTTAATGTTAATCTGCATATTTTAATACTCAATAGGAATCCATGCAATTGGAAATTTAGTAAAGGATATTTAGCTGCGTGGTTTGAAAGTGACTACTGTGTGAGCTGTGCTTCATATGTTGCCACATTATTGACAATAGACATATTCAAAATTCTGCTAGCTTTAGAATTAAATGAGAAATTTTGCTGTTGTGCCTTTAAAGAGATAGTTAACCCAAAAATGAAAATATGTCATTAATTACTCACCCTCATGTCGATCCAAACCCTTAAGACCTTTGTTCATCTTTGGAACACAAATTAAGATATTTTTGATCCGAGAGCTTTCTGGTTCCGAGTGCGTCATGGTACTCTCGTTAATGGAACAGAGACTGACACCGAAGAGAAGAAATCGTTGAATAAAGTTATTTTTGTTTTCTTTATGCTCAGAAAGTATTCTCATTGCTGATGTCACATGGACTATTTTAATGATGTCTTTACTACCTTTCTGGGCCTTGAACGTTTCAGTTGCGTTGCTGTCTATGCAGGGTCAGAAAGCTCTCGGATTTCATCAAAGATATCTTAATTTATGTTCCGAAGATGAACGATGGTCTTACGGGTTTGGAACGACATGAGGGTATGTAATTAATGACCGAATTTTCATTTTTGGGTGAACTATGCCTTTGAGACTTGTATGTAACTGGCCTTTTCACATGTGATGCTTTGTATCAGAAGTCCAAGGATTTCAGAGCGAGTCATTTTTGCAGCTTTGTTCCAATAAATTGTTTTTATCTAAAAGATGCCATGATTTCACGGTTCAATGAACTTTCATTTTTCAAAAAATCAAGGAAAGTTTGATTTCTCATAATATGACTCTTTGCCACTCATTTTCCTTTTGTATTGATTTTTGTTCTTTACGTTTTCTTATGGTCCTCTTCAGTCTTCAAATATTTTATATGTATACAACAATAAGACTCATTGCTTAGCATTTATCCGTGACTCCTTAGAGCTTTATAGCTGGACTAATGGAATCATTTAATGCTTCGTGAGTTTTATTATTGAACGTTGGCGGTAATTTAATGTCTTTTTCTGGCTGTGCTCTTAGCTGTGGGAAGAACTGTCTGATATCAAGTCAGACCTTCTGAAAGAAACAATATACGAGGAGGTACACGAAGGGGATGAGGTATCAAATATGGCAATTAATTGTTTTTCAGATTTTAGATTGTGAGAGCTGAATGTAGCTTGTGGTTATTAGCACATAGACATGCGTTTTGTAATGGAGTTTGTGCTGTGGTTAGCACTGTTTAGCTGTTGTACTCAAAATACAGAGTATATAGAATATAAATTAATTCAGTTTCTGCCTTTTCTCTCCTGAGTCGCTTTACGTGCCTCATGCATTGGCATTCAAGAGGGCGTATGCTAAGGTAGCATCTTTTTATTTCAAATGTGTTGAGCCCCTTCAATCTTTAAACCCATTGGCTGAATCAACAACACTCAGCATCTTGTTCCTCAATAGAAACACAGCGTTTTGCCAGAGCTGCCAACCAAGGCAGCCACCCCAGTGTCGTCATGTCCGTCAGAGGTGGTAGGTGTTTGGGTGGTGTTCCCGGACCCTTCCAGCATAAGTTTCTGTACCACACTGTTTCAGAGAGCAGAAACGGAGGAGGAACTCAACGCCAAGCTGACACGCCGAGTGCAGAGAGCAGCGCGCAGACAGGCCAAGCAGGAGGAGCTGCGGAGGCTGCACAGGGCGCAGGTGTGTGTGACTTGTTTTGAAGCATTCTTGTTCATGTGCCTCTTAAACAATGCGTATTTATTTTTGTGCATGTCATCTCAGATAATCCAGCGTCAGTTGGAGCAGGTGGAGGTCAAGCAGAGGCAGCTGGAGGAGAAGGGTGTAGCTGTGGAGAAAGCACTCAGAGGCGAAGCAGGTACCTGTCAATCATCTGTCACCGTCTTTGTAAAGTGGATGAGCTTCAGAAATCACAGTTTTATAGAAACTTTTAAATTGTTAATTAATTTGTCAATTTAAAGATTCAGAACTGATTAAATTGGATTTAGTTATTCAAAACATTATTTTACTTTAAACATTATATTATATTATGTATATATTATATATCTTAAACATTTTATTATTTTACATAACTTTAATATTACTTGTGTATGTTGTTTCATGCAAAAATCCTGTTCTTAATCAGTTTTTGTCTCATCAATAATAAAGAAAAATAAAATAATATTAAATATATAATTTTACATTATATAATCAAATAAATATGAATATCTCAATAATAATAAAAAAGTTGAATGAGATAGAATCCCTGATAAAAAAAAAAAGACCCACTTAAACCAGCCTAATGTGGTTTGGTGGTTTTAGCTGGTTTAAAATGGTCTTAGCTGGTTCAAAACAATCATGGCCAAGCCGGTCTTCAGCTGGTCTAGCTGGTCTCCCAGCCTGACCGGTTATAAGAAGCCCAAAACCACTCTAAAACCATCCTAAAAGGCTGCAAACCAGTTTAACTTGTTTTTTTAACAGAAGGTGGCTTGTTTTTATAGAATGTATCTTGAATATAAGTGTATTTTGTGTTTTAAGCTTAAACCTCAAAAATGTTTTTTTAATGTTTTTCTTAAAGGGGTCATATGATGCTGCTAAAAGGAACATTATTTTGTGTATTTGGTGTAATGAAATGTGTTTATGCGGTTTAAGGCCAAACAAAGTAGTTTCGCTTTCACAATGAAACCGCGTCACACACCGCAGCCTTGAGTGAGCGGAGGCCTAGAGTGAGTGGCGGCCTAGAGTATGCGGACGCCGGCTTGAGTGAGCAGAGGCGGGCGGGCTTGAGAACGGCGCTGCCGGCAGATTCGACGAAGGAGCGTCCGGCGGGCTTGCGGCAACCACATGTGACGCCATTCTTGCAATATATATCATGTACTATGAAATGTCATCATCCCTCATGGTTTGTACCCATTATATGTTTGTTTACAAAGTCTTACATTCATCAAAAACATATTGCATATATTATTTTTATTGCTACATTCACTGCATTAGCAAATTTTCATAAAACACAGGGACGGAGCAGTGCAGGATATTCTGTTTTCTTTGACTTTTAATGGTCAGAATCCTCATGATGTGTCCTTCCTTATGATATAGACTTCTGGGGAGACTCTAGTACATCTAACCTTTTGGATGTACATCTGGGTGGTATGTGCAACACATTTGACTTAGCGCTCATGCTAATGACACTAACAAACACGTTTACCGTCTTAGAGGTTCATAATGTGTTAACACAAATTAAACAGCTGTTTTAGTGGTGTAAAAATAGGCTTTCTGGCTTTTTTCGTGCTGTGGACCCTGTCCTGTTTGCTTGCTGTTAGCTTTGTGTCTGAATTTAATCTAGTTGCTAGCGGTAGCATTAGTTAGTTTGTATCGTCTGGTGGCTGTGACAGTATGAGATGAAGTTTGAATAGCAGTACTGTTGGAAATACACATATAAATTTTAGTCAGGGAAGATGGCATTTTTTAGAAGCTATTTTAACTTTTATTTTAGGAACTTTTAGAACTTTTATCTCTCCGTTGGCCTACTTTCTGAGACAGCAGATTGTCAGTCAGACCACTGCCTGGACATCCAACTCGACCCATTTCAGCTTCGCACCTCACATTCCTCTATTATTCCCATCCTTGCTTGGTTGCGTTCCTGAATTCCTGAATCCTTCCTCTCCCTCTTTTTTTCTGCCCATCTCTGCGGTCTTAGTCGAGCCCTTTCTAGGTTCCCCTCGTAGAAGGCCTGTCTATCTCTGTCCTTACTGTTCCTCAGAAGGTAACACCTCCCCAGTCTCACACCTCTAGTGCAGGTTGTGTAATAGCACTAAATTCTAAAACCTTTTACTTTTCTCTCCTCTCTTCTCTTCCTTCCTCTGCCCTGCTGTACGCAGCCAAAGCCAAAGGGACAGAACACGATCATTCAGTTTATGTCTGTACAGTCTTTTTTCTTTATGTAGTGCAAGAACCTCCACTTCACCAGCTAAGTACGATATTCTCTCCTGTAATCTCAAATTTGGTTCTGTAACCTTTCGCAATGGAGTTGCATGGGCATAGCACGTTATTGATCTGCATGGCTATCAGTACATATAAAAAGTCGCATCCTGTCTTATTTGGGAATTGACACTGTGTATGTGTGCTGTTTGTTTTTGTCTGCTTGCACGTTTTGATAAATTTATATACACTACTTTTCAAAAGTTTGGGGTCAGTAAGATTTTTTGAAAGAAATTAACTTTTATTCAGCAAAGGATGCATTGAATTGATCAAAAGAGACAGTACAGACATTTGTAATGTTACGAAAGTAATACAATAAATGTTGTTCTTTTAAACTTTCTATTCCTCAAAAAATCTTGAAAAAACTGTATCACAGTTTCCATAAAAATATGAAGCAGCACAACTGTTTTCAACATTGATAATAATAAAAAATGTTTCTTAAGCACCAAATCAGCATATTAGAATGATTTCTGAAAGAGCATGTGACACTGAAAATCTGAGTTATGGCTGCTGAAAATTCAGCTTTGTATCACAGGAATAAATTACATTTTAAAATATATTAAAATAGAAAAAAAAAATGTACTTTAATAATATTTCACACTTTTAATGTATTTATTTATCAAATAAATGCAGTCTTGATGAGCACAGGAGACTCAAGAGGTTCAAAAACATTAAAAGGTCTTACTGACCCCAAACTTTTGAACAGTAGTGTAGTTTATAAGCAGGGTCCAAAAATATATTTTTAAAGTGTTTTTAAATTAATATTATAATAAATAAATTAAATACAAATATTTAATACATAAATGCAAAAAAAATTATAATATTTCTACTTATTCTTTAATTAATTTTATTATATATATATATGTCTTTAATTTCACATGCTTCACATTTCAAGCTATCATTCTTATAGTTCAACCATGTTATATTGAGGGACAAAAGCCAAAGCCAATAAAGTGTTTATTTGGACCCTGCTTATAAGCATATTCATGCACATGATAGCGTGTCCATACAGTGTCCCATCCTCCTCTTCTCTCTCTCATAGGAATGGGAAAGAAAGATGACCCTAGTTTAATGCATCAGTGGTTTAAGCTGGTGCAGGAGAAGAATGCTCTCGTTCGCTATGAATCTGAGCTCATGATATTGTGAGTATCAACGGTTTGAATGTTTAATAATAGTCTGAACTGTGTGGACTGATCTGGCATTGTGTGATTGCATCAGGTATTACATAAGTGTTCTGCTTCTCGCTTTGGTCTAGTATTGTTTGCCATGTGCTCATCTGTGTGGTTTGTCTTCAGTGCACGTGAACTGGAGCTGGAGGACAGGCAGAGTCGACTACAGCAAGAGCTGAGAGAGCGCATGGCGGTGGACGGTTAGTACACGCAGAGGATATTAATAGTTAAACTTCCCCTTAATCCTTTGTGGTTTAATGGTTCTTCAATTAATAACAGCTTCACAGCACCTCTTTCTCTCTTTCAGACGATCTGAAGGGGGAGGATGAGCTGGCGGAGGAGAGGCGTATGTTGAGTGAGATGCTGGATGTGGTGGAGCAGAGAGATGCACTGGTGGCCTTGCTGGAGGAGCAGCGAGTGAGAGAAAAAGAGGAGGACAGTGACCTGGAGGCCGTCATGCTTTCCAAGGGCTTCAGTCTGCACTGGGACTGACTCGTACATGCATGAATCTCATCATACCGCTTGAAGGGCTACTCTGTGTCTGTTTGCGCAACTAAAATACACAGCTGCTGTTTTCATCGGTCCGAACCGGCCCGTCCACCTGCACTCTGGGCTGTATGTGCAACTACATACAGTAGGTGTCTAAATAATGAATCCCGGGATTCGGCAAGAGATTGCAAAATACAGACCCTGATTAGGACGAATGGCAATGTCTTGCTGCCAAATAATGCTACTCTAAGACTGCTACTGTGCAAAGGAACATCTTTTTGTTTGCTCTCTTTGTTGATAAAGTTAAGGTACATCTGTTGTGTTATCCAGATCCACTGCGTTTAGGCTTAACAGAAATGAATTTAGAATGGCATATATAACCACATTGTCAATTTACAGTAGAGATTGGCGCATGTAAACTTGGATATACAAAATATGGCTTCTTAATGTATGATTGGAATGTTTTTGGACCTGATTTAGGTTAGCAATTTCTGTTGTTTAACCTGTATAAGCTAACCTCACACACAATTGTCCGTTCTCAATATATTCACATACATTTATTGGATGAAATGTCTTTTTTTTTTAATTATCTTGATTTTCACTTCATAATATACAATACTTGCACAGAATTTGTTTTACATTTTGTTGTTGTTATATTTATTCTGTAAAACTTACTTGCATTAAACAACCTTTCTTTTGAGAAAAATGTGAGGACTATTTTCATTTGGAGTTTTTTGGCATGAATATGGGAATATACTCCGGTAACTTTTTTAATGCATTAGTAATAATGCTAATACTAATAAGTAATAAAAACTAAAAACAATATCATAATTTTGATGTAATTACCAAAATTATTATCAATTATTAAATTATTATTAAAAATAAAACTTCGTATGTCTGGTTTTATACACTTTTGTGATGTTTATTAAATGCTTATTTGCAGAAAATGCCAGAATTGCACAAAATAACTGTATTTAGACCTATGCGTCTTAGTAACGGGTGTAAAAATGTCATTACGCAATATATGAAGAGTTTATTTGCAAAAACAGATAACAGATAAGCATGTTTTTTTATTGTTTTCATTGTTTTATTGTGTTAGCTGTATTTTTAGTTATTTTAATTGGATTAATTTGAATGCACAATGAAAAAACATGATTTTTGAATTGAGTTATCTGGTTTTTGCAAATTAACTCATATATAAATAAACAGCTCATAAAAATTAGTTTGATATCTTTAAGGCTGTCAGTCAACATTTTTCAAAGGCTACGCATCTTTTTTCACAGGCTTTTTGTTGAGATAAAGTTTTCGGGGACTAAATGTTCCTTTTGCACACTTCTACATTCACTATATTTTTAGGAATTACAAGGCAAGCCTCGTTATTTTTGAATATTGTTAATTAATCACGCTCATGTGGGATTGCGTGTGGACTGGCGCCCCCTGCTGGATAATGCCAGCAGTGTTTTCCTGTGGATTTACAGCAGTTCTCTCTCTGACCGTAAACGGGAGTGAAGTCACGCCTCTCTATCTTTCCTGCTACACTGTTTCCGTTCGTGGGAAAACTTACTGCCTTTCCGATTTCTTCGAGCTCCGGAACTTTTTTTTTTGATTACCATGAAATCAAAAGTCTGCTTACCGATAGTTTATATGCGTTTTACGTCTATTGGTCACAGTTAAAACAGCCTTTACCTCTATATAAACAAACGCAAACGAAAGTGAGGAGATTTCCTCGGAAAGAAGAAGAAAGCAAGTCGGAAATCATAAATTGTGCTTCCAATAAGGTGAGTAAGGCTTAAAAAACGTCAAAAGTGTTAATCTTGTCTATATTTTTAATATTTACAGTTGTTTACTATGGAAGTATGTGCTCTTGGCTTGTTGTACTGTTAATGTCTATCAGTTGCTATAGCCTATGTTTATATCTCCGTTTAAGGAAATACTTCCAGTTTTCTTTTGTTAAGTGGTTATAATGTGGTATTTAAACAAAAATAAACGTATATGGAAGTTTAAATAAGTCAAACTAGATCAGTCTGTCTTAGCAGGAAAATCTGCTACTACGGAAACTTTTTGATATGAAAGATATGCGATTTACGCAGATAGATAGGCTACAGTAGATGAAGTAGGCTAGATTTGGCGCTGTTCATGTAAAAAGTATGCATCTGTGTTCAAGGCCTGCAGTTTAATTAAACTAAGCTTTTTAAGCATTCAATAAACTTTCCATTAGTTGTTCAGGGTGTGTGTGTGTGTGTGTGTGTGTGTGTGTGTGTGTGATTAGCGCTGCACTGGAATGTGCAGAATTGGCGCATCTAAAAAGCGCATCTCTGAAAGCAGCTGCTGCGTGTCTGCTGCAGACTCATGGAAACACTGAGCATACACACACATCATTTGCCTGTTAAGGTCTGTGTTTTGGTTAAGCCTATAATCTGAAAAAACTCTACTGGAATATTACTGTATATTTCGGCGTGATCCGAACCGATTAAATCAATTCAATACAGCTCTTTCATTCGAATTTAAAATATGAACTTAAAATATTAACTTAATATTTTTAAAATAATTAAATCTGTCTATGACAATCAAGTTAATATGTTAACATGGTGCATACATAATCATAATGTGACTTAATATTTAATTTTTGTCTTGTGCATATAAATACAGGGGCAGGGGTTATGGACAATAGTTGTTTTCATCTTTGGGTAATTTTTGAAGATAATGAATGTATAATATTATACACACACGCACACATGTATATATAAACTCAAACTCTTCTTTCATTGTTTTATTATGTTTAAATATTATTTTAATATTAATATTTACTATTAATTAATTTTTTTAAACAAATGAGGTTGGGTCATATATGTCATATATTTGGAGAACTAGTCAGCATTTTATGTCACTTTAAATTTGAAGATCTAAAAAAATATATAATTTTAAGAAAAATTATTTCTTTTTTTTTTTCCTTGGATCTCAGTATTGGATCTCAGTATATCTCATCAGTTACCACTCATTGCTCTGAAAATATGTTGTTGACTCAAGCCTCTCTTCTTTCCATAGCCTACTTTACTACTTCAGTATGCATTTAAGTCTGGCCAAGTCTCATCCTCAGCCAGATAGTAGAGATAGCACATCCTATTTGTGACCCTGGACAACAAAACCAGTCATAATTGTCAATTCTTTGAAATTGAGATGTATACATCAGTATACATTTGAAGCTGAATTAATAAGCTTTCCATTGATGTATGGTTTGTTAGGATAGGGCTATATTCGTTATAGTCAACAAAATATCTTAATGGAACATGATCTTTACTTGATATCCTAATGATTTTTGGCATAAAAGAAAAATCGATAATTGTGACTCATACAATGTATTATTTGCTATTGCTACATACAGGTGCATCTCAATAAATTAGAATGTCGTGGAAAAGTTAATTTATTTCAGTAATTCAACTCAAATTGTGAAACTCGTGTATTAAATAAATTCAATGCACACAGACTGAAGTAGTTTAAGTCTTTGGTTCTTTTAATTGTGATGATTTTGGCTCACATTTAACAAAAACCCACCAATTCACTATCTCAACAAATTAGAATATGGTGACATGCCAATCAGCTAATCAACTCAAAACACCTGCAAAGGTTTCCTGAGCCTTCAGAATGGTCTCTCAGTTTGGTTCACTAGGCTACACAATCATGGGGAAGACTGCTGATCTGACAGTTGTCCAGAAGACAATCATTGACACCCTTCACAAGGAGGGTAAGCCACAAACATTCATTGCCAAAGAAGCTGGCTGTTCACAGAGTGCTGTATCCAAGCACGTTAACAGAAAGTTGAGTGGAAGGAAAAAGTGTGGAAGAAAAAGATGCACAACGAGGCAGTAATTAAAGCAAAAGGAACATACTTTCCAGAAGGCCAACAATCACTAAAAATGTTATTTTTATTGGTCTCATGAAGTATTCTAATTTGTTGAGATAGTGAATTGGTGGGTTTTTGTTAAATGTGAGCCAAAATCATCACAATTAAAAGAACCAAAGACTTAAACTACTTCAGTCTGTGTGCATTGAATTTATTTAATACACGAGTTTCACAATTTGAGTTGAATTACTGAAATAAATGAACTTTTCCACGACATTCTAATTTATTGAGATGCACCTGTATACCCGTGCTACTTATGACTGGTTTTGTGGTCCAGACTCCAGGATCACATTTTAATAACACTAGAGGGCAGTGCATCCTAAAATTCCTCACACCTCCAAAGAGGTCACACAGTTAATGCTAAATAGTCTTATAAAAACAGAGAAAAGATGTCAAGTGTGAGCTAGAGCAGGTCAGAGCGCAGCCTCTTTTGAATAGCGAACAGAAAAAAAGAGCTAATGACATCATTTAGGACTGAGACGGCACATGCCCTCAGGCTGTCATACACAGGAAGAGTACGTCCTGTGCTGAATGTTTCCATCAAAGGGCATTTTTACAATAACTGATCCTTTTGTGTAGCTCTCGCTCTAACCTTAAACTCCACACACGTGCAAAATAACATATGCACATACGCTTGCTTTTTTGTCAGGTTACTTTCGGATGCTTGAGAGGCAATTAATTCACCTGTTTTTAAAGCTAGAATCTCATTCATCAAAGGCATTATTTCTGTTTTGAAAATGCAATTTTCTGCATGGAAGGCATGCCATCTTTAATATTCATGCATGTGTAGGGAAGCTATTAGAAATGCCATTGCTTAAAACAGTTGGTCTTATGAAAATGCCAGTTGTTATAAAAATATCAGACAGGCTGTTTCCTGTTTCTGCTGTTGCTTTAGTCATTCTGCATACAGTCATAAGTCTTCAATTCAATGTGACTCAGGATAATATTACACGTTTTACTCTCTAGCATGGACGCGATGTGTGTTGAGATATTTCAATGATACAAAAGCTCATTACTAATGTAAAAGGTACTGAGAGATCGGCTTTAAAGGCTTTTATGTGTGAATGAAGTGTGTGTAGTATATTGCATAATAAAAATATATCACAGACATCTTTGCTGCATAATTTTATTTTACATAACATACATTTTTGGGGGTTTTGGGCATTAGCCCGAAAAGCATGTATAGGCTTATTTCTATGCATACATGGAAATAGTATGCATTAACAATACCTGTAAAATGCTGTTTTTAACATATGGTTTGGGACTTATTAATTATAATCTAGCATGCAGTATGTACTATTGCACAGTTAGTATGCAAATAGTGATTCAACCTGAGTATGCAAGGTAGAAGGGTTCAATTTTAGGAAAGTACTGAAAAAATATTTGAAGTAGAAACACTGAAATAGTATTTTCCTGTAAAATGTACTCCAATCATTTTTATTTACTACTTACATTTTTTTACAGTGTAATTTATTATCTTTTCTTGTGACTTCACTTGTATTTTTATGCCATTTATTGACTGTAGTTTCTTTATGATTCTTAGAAAGAAAAGGCATATAGCAGGTTAAAACAGCTTTTTGCTTGCTGGAGGATAAAATCAGCACTAATTTTGTTCCTTCTTTCCCAACACGCAACTTCCATTTCCCTGGAAAGTGTTAGAATGTGCTTTTTGCCAGCAAGCCAAGCAGCATTCCCTGGATTGGGAGTTAATGGTAGTTGATT